GAAAATCTATTGGCAGATATCAGTGGTGATTTTTTTTTCTGGGTTATAGCTTAAAAAAAAATCAGTCCTAGAAACACCCACAGGCTGGGTCCCTCAGACTCAAAGTTTGGATTCATCCATCTACATTTAGGTTTATTTGACATAAGGTGCAAAGAAACACTCTTTCCCCCCTCCTTGCCCCCCCCTCTTTTTTTTTTTTCTCCTGGATTTTATTCCAAATATGGAAGAAAGAAAGGCGAGAAGGAGGGTGTCTGTCAGTAGCCACAGGTGCCACCACTGCCCTGTGCTGGGGGCAGTGGCAGGACAAAACTCCCTGCTTGTGGGTTGCTTTTTGAATGGAAGATGCTACACTGCTCACACTGTTTGATTTGCAAATGAAAACAGGTCACTCCTCAATGCCGAGGCCAATGGCAGGGATTCTCCAGGTCTTACCAACTAACTGCTCTGCTTTGCTAGACTTTTTCTTAATGTATATCTTCTCTTTGGCTGTGGTCACTCCTCTGCCCACTGTTCATATGCCCACTGGCATAAGAAAGACCATGTCATGCTTTCCTTGCAAGACATACAGGAGCAGGAAGAGTGTGGGAGAAGAGCAAGGGACCTCTTTACCATTTTTATATTGTGCGGTGTGTGTTGGATGCTAGAATGCAGAAAAATAAATCTGCTCATCAATAAATAGATATGAGAAGAAATTACTTCTTTCATCATCCTGGTAGGTGATAAGCCTGTAGCAATTTATCAGCTGTCCACTAGAAATAAATGTCTGTTGTCATTTTCTCACATTTAATAACATTATAATTCTCTGTAATTTTAGCTGTTCATCTCAACTGCTACCCTTTATTTTTCTTCTTTTTGAAAGAGTGAGCTTAGAAGAGAAAGGATAGTTTAACAAGGCTTCCTCCTTTCTTTGCCAAGCCAGCAAAATTATTGTAAACACCAAATTAATTATTTGGATTCATTAATCCAGAAGATGCCCACTTGCCTAAAGTAGAATAAACACCAAGCAGTCTCGCTTGGATGTTCAGTGGCTTTGAATTTGAGCTTGCTTTTACAACACTACCAGCATTATTGTCTCAGCTTGCTGTCCCAGAGCCACTACTACATCTTCCTATCACCCTCTGGGAGATGTCCCCACCTTGTGTGTCAGGTAGAGGAGATGAGGGCCATATTTCCTTATCATGAGTAAACCTTTCCTATAATTCTAGACAGCACAAGCTTAAGTCCTTTAGTCCTTCAGCAAGCGTGGCTAGTAGACAACCTACTGGAAGCTTTGTTTAAGTGGAAGGGGGTTTTTACACAATTTGATAGACAGTGAATAATACCATCTCTCCATTAGCATCTGTTCTACCCCAATAGGAAATTAACATTATTCTAGACTACACCTACACTTTCATCTTTCAATATGACTGGGCCTAATTATACTGCAGGGGTAATCAGCAGCAGAGTTGGAGCTTCTGGTTGTTGAGTTTGGGATAACTGGAATTTGAGGCTTCTGGGAAGACATGGCAGAAGGTTTGCAGTAGGAAGACAAATACCTGCTAAAAGTAGGTTATCTCCCTTATCTAGATGACCGGAAAAGATATAGTCTGTGGTGCAGCTGCCACACCAAGGTAAACGGGATGGCTTTTTCCTGTCAGAACATGGCCAATAGTAAGAAAAGGAGGCACTAAGTCAAAAATCTTATATTAGAGCTTTTTAAAACATTTGCATGGAAGATAGATGAGGATCATGCCATATATGTGATCCATCACAATAGAATGTCTCTAGAATGGGGTAAATTCATGCTATTCCTAATGTGGCAGACTTCTCTTGAGGAGGTAAAATCACTGCAGGTTGCACTGGTTTAGGTTGGGCTCTGCAGGAACACATCTGTTATCCTGTTGTGTCTTAAAGTCCTCTATGTGCCCTTACACAAGATTCTCTTCCAGCTGGGCTATTCTCCCTTCTCCCATAGGTACTCTACTCCTGGCCAAGCAGTGGTGAAACTCTCTGTCTTGCAATAGTTATTTTTGTGTGAGAAAGACGCTACAGGCTAGAGCCTTCCTCCCAGGCAGGGACTGGCCTCATCTTGTGCTCTTGCCTGCTTGAGTGCTATCTCTTCACACCAGCTGGCCAGGGATGGGTAACCTCCCTTCCCTGGCATAGTTTTGAAAGAAAACAGCCTCATGAAGTATTGCTTGAGCCTATCTGTGAGATCTGGATGGAGTTTTGGCACCTTCTGGCCTCTGTTTGAATTGCAGATTTTTTTTTACAAGAGGAATTGCTGGGCTTTTCCAGAGTAGGAGCCTCCAACCCTGTACTGGTTCATGTATTTCAATAACCAGTAAACCCTGCAATTTAAAGCAGAGGCACTGCTGGGAGGACACTCCCAGGACAAATCCAGTTATCCCAGTGGCTGTGATCATTGCAGAAACAGGGAACTGCTGAGGTGGGATACTTCTGTATAACCCCAGAAAAAAAAATTCAGTGCTGGAGGTTTTTGCATAGAAAGTAACATAGCTAAAAATCAAATTCTCTAACAATCCCAAATTTGCCTAAATAAATCCCACATTCACTGGGAATATCAGCACATGAACAACATATACCAGACACGCATTTAAAAAAGGAGGCCTTTCTGTATCCCATTTTTAAACGGACCCAACTCCTCCAACTTGCCTTCTCCGGATCTGGCTTTGAAATTATTTACAGCATGTTGTGAGCTTGTAATCATCTCTGAGATAAAGCATCTCAGCTCTAAAGGGAAGCTGAAATTTTTGTGATGCAAATATTTTGAAATAGGGAAGCCATTCCTTCTTAGCCTTTCATAGCAGATCATGACATGTAATTACAGTAATTTTACTGCAGAGCTACAAATGCAAGCATAAGGAAGGCATGTGGGCAATCCTGCATGGCTAACAAGGGATGAAAGACTTGTAGATCCTCAACTTCCAAACCCTGGATCAGCTCCAGCCCTGAACACAGCAACTGTCAGATATGTGACAAAAAAAGATTTCAACTCACCATTATCATCCTAGTGACAGTAGTCCATATTTTTTTTCCTCAGGTTATCCACAGTGTAATTACCCACCCTCCACCTAATTAGGAAATTGTGCCCTGTTCTTCATCTGAATCTGCCTGGAACAATCTTTCAGACACCTTTTGTTACAGTACAAGAGATTCATCCTGGTTTTAGATTTCTGTATGCAAGTATCTATACTCAGAGCTTGAGCCACATCTCAGATTCTTGTCAGTGAGCTGAGTAAGTTGAGCTGCTTAAGTTTAAAATCATGACTTATTTTCCAGTCCCTGGAGATATTTGTAACCCTCATTTGAATTCTCTCCCTCTCTCTGTCCTCATTATTTCTATGTATTTTCTGAGGTGTGGATGAATAGCCGTAAACAGTTAGACCAAAGGTGTATCTAGCCTAGTGTTCTGTCTCCCACATATGGCACAGTAACATTAATAACAGTGTAAAAAGGTGCTGCTTTCTTCCCTGCTACCTGGTCCAGCATTCGAGTGATGTGAAGCTCACTGTCCTACACACATGTGCTCTTAGCCTGAACCAGGATCACTTGCAGTTTTCTGCTTGACACTCCTTGTTGTATGGATCCAGGGATCACATTAGCATATTTCTTCCCCTTGCAGTGCCTCAGAAGCTCACGTTGACCCACTGTCTGTAAATTTTTTTAAGTCCTCCACGGAGCTGCAGCTTTCCAAGACAGCTTACTAGCTCTAGCAAACAAAACACACTGTCCGATGGAGCCAGTACACATGATCCTTCAAGCTAACCTCCTGTCCTTATCTGGAAAGCCACCATTGTATTGTCTCCTGAGCTAGGATACCAGTTTTTCCAGAAAGAAACATTCTGCACTTCCACATTAAAGAGTGCAGAAGGTGAGATATTAGTATTTGACTTCGGACCACTTCCAAGCCTACCTGCTTTTCACCTCATATTAGGAGAATAAGCCTTTCCTGCTTTCCAGAGATTTTAGCTTGCACGAATGTGACTTGCAAACTTTCAATGATAGAGCTGTTCTAAAAAGTGTGAGAGCTATTTGTAGTAAATAAAATACATTTAAATGTGTAGTCAGCTCTTGGATTTTTTGAGACAATCAGCAGAGAAGGCTTAAAAACTAAAAGCAGCTTGACTGTCTTTCTAAAAGAAAACTGAGATTTCCTTATAATACTCTAATCACTGTAGGTGTTAGGACATGAAAAGTTACAGCAGCATTATAGAGGAAGGAATGAGTTGGCAGTACTGCCCCCACCTTTATTTCCTAGGACTTCTAAATGTACATGAGAGAAATCACATTCAAATCTCCAGGTGTGCAGGTGTTTCTACACCACCACCCATTTGCTCTGGTATGCACAGACCCCCTCCTCCCCCCCCATTCTTGCTATCCTTCATGCATTCTCACCCCTGTATCCTGTGTCTGCTCTTCAGCATCACAGCCACAGGCAGACATATTCCAGCTCCCTTTATCTACAGCCATCATGCAAGACCTACCCCCTCACACACAAGTACATATTCCAAAATCAGCGCATATACACCAGACCCTGCACTTGCACACTTAGAATGCATTTAGAATTTTATACTGGAGACATGAAAAGACACACAGGGTCCCTGTTTGCCAGGCACTCAGGGTGCCTGAATCTTTTTGAGGGGGAGCTTCAGCAAAATGCCTTTTGCAGCTTGCTGGAGTTTGGAAGCCACCAGCTAGGTGCGTATAGGTCTGAGCTGCTCCTTCCCAAATTGAGTGGTTGTGATAGATTATATTTATACCTCCACTGTTCCAGCCGTTCACAAACCATCCCACACATCTCTTGTATTAGAAGGTTTCTACCTAATATTTTTTGAGCTGGGCATATGGGACCATGATTATATCATCTTTATTTGTTTTTCTCCATTCACTCTCACTCCTCCATTATTCTGTCTCCCTGCCGATACCATTTAAGGATCCACTAAAATATTACACAGTGGTTTTTACTCATCACCGTCTTTTTTCCTCCTTTTTGGCAGATGCTTACCCCAATTCTGAAGTGATCTATGTGTGGACTAACAGCACCACAACATCTGTGGTGGTGGCCGAAGATGGCTCACGACTTAACCAGTACCACCTGATGGGACAAACTGTAGGAACCGAAAACATCAGTACCAGTACAGGTACAGAGAATATTTCCATCCCATGGCTGCTAATAGATAGAGTGGGAGGGGAGATCCACAGGCTCTGGTTATTTTGCAACAAGGCTAGAGAAGTATGCGTGGGATGTGGAGGGTTAGGGAGATCCTGTGCAGGTTCATGGCCACTTAGCAGAGACACTTAAACACTGAGAGGATTATGTGCTGGCTCTTAGGTACATTGCAAGTCTGTTGCTAAAGATGCATCCAAGCCCCTGCTATTTACAGGAGTGCCGGAGAAGCTGCACGCAGCTTCTTGGCGATCGCCTTTACTGAGGCTGCCGGTGCTACTGCTGGCTTATTTTCTCGGGGGAGGAACCACCCTGGGAGGCAAACACCACCCACGCATTTGATCCGTTTCAATCATCGCTTTAAAATGATTGCCTGATGAGACCGCGGGGGGGAGGGGAAGGAGGAGGGAGGAAGGGAATAGAGGGTCAAGTGGGGGCTGTGGCTTGGCGTGGCTCTGCAGCGTGTCCAGGGGACCACGTGGCTGGAGAGGAGGTGCAAACCCCGAGGATCCCCATTCCCTCCGAGGCTGTAAGTGGAGGTGCCAGATGTGGCAGCATTAGGGAAGCAAAGAAGCTTTACTCCCAGGCCGGGCATCCACGTGAGCCATGCCCCCCTGCTTCTTAAGGCTCCCACGCAAGGGCAGCCCTGGGTGTGCATTGGTGCCGGGGGGGGTGTGTCACTCCCGAGGGGGTCGAGGCCGGGACAGAGATCACGTGAGCTCAGCAGGACGGGGGCTTAACCAGGTTACACAATGCACTCAACTGGAGAGCATTAGTGGCATCCATCGGGGCAGGGAAGAGGGGGAATGAAATAGCCTGCTATGAAGGGAAGGTTGGGGAAAGGAGCAGCCTGTGACAACATGGCTGGGAGCAATTCCTGCAGGAGAAGCCCAACAGAGTCTGCTGCTGATACGTTGTATGCCTGGTGAAAAATGATGGGCAGAGTTGTAGAGGACAAAGTATAGATTGAATTAAGAACCTGTTAGTATCTGCAGGAAATGTAGGAGTTGTGAAAATAGGTACACGTACACTTGCACACAAAGTTAGCTGGACTGAAACATGAAGATGCATAAATCTTTGTGCTCCAGACGGCAAAAAAAGAGGGAGCATCTGAGCTTGCCGCTTATGCTTCAAACAGGACACAAAGTGAGGGAAGGCTTGCCATGGGCAGCCACTAACCACAACTGCCATCTCCATCCTATAGACCTTCATCCCCTCCCTTGCACATTGCAGGAGACACAAAGCTGCTGCTAAAGCAAAGATACCTAAAGTCAAGAGAAGCATGTAGACAGAGTGGTCACTTCTGCAGGAAAAGAATGAGTATGCTATCTCCCATGAAAGAGTAAAGACACTTTTTTCCTTACCAGTTCACCATCATAGCCGCGTTGTTTTCTGCAATGAATGGCAGCTCCCCTCTCGCCTTCATTGTTGCCAAGAAAAAGATCCAAAGGATGTACTGGAGCATCTCCTACAAGCTCGTCCTGCTCCTCAGAGCAAGAAAACCATCCAGCCCAGGCAGTGAGTGCTCCAGTGTGTCAGCTCCAGGCCACTTCCAGTTTGCCGCTTTGCCTGTGAAAGCTCCTTGTACTCCTCAGCCCAAGGAAACAGACATATCCCAAAGTTTCTGCACAGTAAACACCTCCCTCATGTATTTAAGATTTATGCTAATAAATGCTTGGTTTCCAACGTCAAGATTTTATATTAATGTCCTGGGTTACATCTGGGCTGGCTGGATTCTGATTGCAGGGTGGATCACAAAGAGCAGGACACAGATTGTAACCGGGGATTAGCAAAATACAAAAATCCGATTTTGCACAGGGAAAGCATCAGTCAGCGATGGATTTTCTGGACTTCATCAAGCTCGTAGGAGGCCAGTAATCAGCATTACTTACGAATGGCCGTTGAAAGCATTTCTTCCTTCTATTGAATTGTTGAATGTGGAAAAGAAAAACCAAAAAGCTATTGCATAAATCCAAGTGCTTGGATCTTTTGTGGCTTTTATGACACACAAGTCAAACTACAGAGCTCTTGCTGTTGCATAGACAAAATTTTTGTGGATGTCATGGGTCATTTATGCTCTTCTTTCTAGCAGACTCTTTTTTTTAAATGGAAATGCCGGACCTGCACCAATCCCTTGGGATTCTGCTGATTTTGTAGGCAAGCTGCTAAGTTTGGCTAGCTTCTCAGAAAAAAATATCCTGGAATTCCTAATTCATCGGCCAGTCTTGAAATTTGGAACATTTTAGCCATGCCACAGAAAACAGCTCTGACATGTGCCACCTGTTCGATTTTTTTGGCTGTTTGTTGTATTTTATGGGGTGTTTTTGTTGTTGGGTTTTTGGTTTTTTTTTTTTTTTTTTTGTGCTAACGTCCCCAAATGTCATTCCACCAAAAGAGAAGATATTTGACTACTCACACTGCTTCCAACAGACCCAACATCTGTTATATCCTGGTGGTACAAGTGCTGAAAACAATCAGATATGAGATTTGAGTCCAAGTGAATCTTGCTGCTTTCCACTAATGGTTGCCCAATCGTGTTCCCATACTCAGAATCTCTCATAGATAACTCAGGATCTGCAGTATTACAAAACAAAAGATAAACCCACTTCTTTTATATTTTGCCAGCTGGAACCTGAGCTCTGTAATATCCAAAGCCTAAATAATAAAAGAATCGTTCAACTCTTCATTTTGCCCCAAATAAATCTGATTTTTTCTGGAGATCAATCGTTCTTCTGCATCACTATAAAAGGACACATGGATTTTTCATGGGCTAAAATGTTCTGGATGTCAGCGTAGTCAGGGAGGTGGTGTCACAGACTTAATTTCAGGATCCTGCTAGAACAGCCATTAATAGACCTGAGTTCAGATATATCCAATAAACAAAAAAGACTGGGGTCTTGTCCAGCCTCATTAAAGTACTTGATTGAATCTCAGCATAATGACAATGGAAGAATGCGTGTAAGATCCTGGAAAATTTGTAAGCACAGTCTTCAGAATTCCCTCAACTAGATACTAAAAAAATACTGTAGCAGCTTTTAAAGCACAAAAAACCCCTTAAGACCAGCAGCACTGTAGCATAGCTCTGTGAAGAAATGCAGTCATTCCTGCTCTAGGGCTTTTCATTAGTACTAGATTTGTTATAGTTTAATAACAATAGTTTGTTTTCTGCAATGTTGAGTGGACCCCATCAGGAAAAGGATTCTCTTTTAAGTGCTACATAAACCTATAACAAAAATTAGCTCTTGCTCAAGAAAGCTTATGGTCTAAGGATAAACAGAAGTAAAAGGGAGCTCTGTCACTCCAACAGAGCCAGTACCTTGTTCTAAATAAACAAAGGCCAACTCAGACAGCTTTTAGCTTTACTTTAAGCAGTGGTCCCAGGGCATTAAAAACCAAGCTGTGGGGTTTTCTTAAGCTTCAAATCTGCTGGGGGAAGTATTCCTAGTATAGGCATTTTTGAAAAGGATAGCATGGGAAATCAGAGAAGATATTAGCTGGAAGAAGAGCAAGTGCAAAATCAAAGTGCTATCATTTCAGTGGAGATGAGGGCTTTGATAGGTTAAAGAAAACGATAAGGTAAAAATCAGCTGTGGAGAGGCATCAACATGTAGGCATTAGTTTTCTGCATTTTAAAAAGGAAAAAAAGGGGTCCTGTACTGCTGCTGAGCTGTGTAGATTTTTTTTTTTTATTATTATTCCGGCTCTGAAAGCATACTGTCGAAATCGATAATACACATCGTCACTCTGTTGCAAGCAGGCAAACTGTGACTCAAACACATCTCAGTGCAGTAGCAACTGAGAAACAGATTACAGGCACACAGACCCTGCTGACTCTTGTCATATTTTAGGGGTAATCCACAAACTAGATACTCCTAAATAAAGAGCAAGTGGGTTTCCTCCTGAGACCATTGCATGTTCAGCATCCCTGGTTCAAAATTACACTAAATGGAAGGGAATTAGGTGACGCTTCACAGGGGTTTTCTCCCCAGTTTCACAGCATTCCCTGTCCTTCTCCATATCACTCTTCAGGGAACCATTTCACCAGAAAATCAGACTCCAGAGAAAGACATAAAGATTGAGGCAGAATGTCAGTTAAGGTATTTCTGTGTTTTTTTCAGTCATTTTGTCTAAAATCCTCAGCATGAACAAGGTCTGTAAAATGGACCCAGAATAGCAGAGCTCCTGTATCATAACATATCAGTGTAGCTATACCTGCAAAAACCCTTTCACTGTAAACCTGTTCTCTGCTAATTAGCCATATTGTCGCTTAGAAATAATCTGTCAGATCTAATTACTTAGCAATGCTGGCCACAGCTCAACTCAGGCTATTCACTCAAGACAGAATCAGTCTGTTGTATATTTTCCTTTTGTGGCTGGTCTATAGAGACTAACAGTCAAGTCTTGCAACAGAGATTATGGATATATTTTTTTTGTTCTTGGAGGACAATATATATTTCAGAACAGCCATTACTATGATTAATCAGTACCCAACTGAATGATGCATGCTTTTAAATTAATTTTATATCAGTGTGAGTGGACAACTGTTAGGGCTTGAAGGGTTGTGTTGTTTTGTATTCTTACATTTTGTTTTTACTCTTATTTTTCCCAGGCAAATAGTAGCATGCTTTTAGCTGCTTTAGGGCATGCTTTAGGGCTTTGGGGAGCAGTTACCATCATGAATAGCCTGGAAAATGATGTGGTTTTCCAAGAACTGTCTGAAAGAACTGGGGACAGTAACCATCAGCAATAACCTTCAGTAACAACTATATGGTTTTCCAGGAACAGTCTGAAAGAGCAGGTTAAGTTTTGATTTTTTTCTGAAACATTAGGGAAGGTGACAGCTGGTCTGTTGATTTTGGAGTGCATTTTTTAGGCTTTAACTGAAATTCAGAGGAGCTGATAAAAGACAAATTAAGGCAATGCTGGGAATTTGGCATATAAAAAAGACATGGAATTTAGCACTGCTGTGGCAGCTTTCAGTGAACTCTCCATTCAGGCAGTACAGTATTCATTGTACAGGTGAACAAGACATGACACAATGTCTATCCAGAAACAGATTATTTTTCCAGGGGCTAAAGTGTATCAGATTCTAGGAAAACTGTATGCACTAGAGGGACTTTTTCTTTTTTTTTTTTTTTGTCCTGGAGGAGTAATCTGAAGGATTTGGGTACTCAGATCAGTAAGACATCCCAGAATCCATATGCAAAGTGGCAATTTTTGCAGCAGATACTGGGACAGGCAATGCCTAAAGTGTGGTGCAGAAGGTGTCCAGACACGTTTTTATTCTTGAAAACTAATGGCTTGGCAGTAACAGTTGCCCTAATGAGGTTAAGTCCTGCTGCTAAATCAGGTTTCTAAGAGTAGAGAGCCTTAATTGTTACTACGGTATGAGAGTTTGTCAGAATGGGTCAAAAATAGGCAGGGCTGAGGCAGTGCCAGCAAGCCTGTGGACATCACAGCATTCTAGTTGCATAGGAGGACTGCAGCTTTTCAGTGTAGTAGAAGCAGTCAGTCATTGTCTTCTGCTTCTGGGGAGTGAATGTGAAGACCATGAGGATTTAGCAGCACCTCTCTCTCAGGTCTTGGTTTTCCACAGTGCAGAAATCCAGACATTTTTCATGCAATTAAGAATGGCTGAGTGGTATCCTTAAACAGGGGGTTGTAGCTGGCCTCCTTAAGTCCCTGATTGGTAAACCTTCTTTGTTTTACCCACATGCACATTTTTCTCCTTCTAGGTGAATATACTATTATGACAGCCCATTTTCATCTGAAAAGAAAAATTGGTTATTTTGTCATCCAAACATACCTTCCTTGCATTATGACTGTGATCTTATCACAAGTGTCGTTTTGGCTAAACAGAGAATCTGTCCCTGCTAGGACTGTCTTTGGTGAGTATCCCCCTCTCTCCTAGAACACAGATAGGATTGGTCTGGCTTGTGGAAGTGATTTGCTGTAACAAAACCACAGTTCACTAATGTTTATTTCTGCTTGAGATGTTGTAGACGTTTCCTCGTTCTCTTCCAGTTCAAACTCAAAATCCATTTAAAAACACTGTCAGGGCTTTTTTTCCACAAAGTTATGACAGAAATTGGTCAAGAATCAATTACCTGAAAGTTAAGGACAGAAGACAGAAGAATCAGATTGGTGTGATTTGTGTTGGGTTTTTTCCACTTGGGTAAAATACTGGATGGTTTAGAACAAAAAGACATACAGATTATCATATTTAGTTTATACTCTAGCTAAGCATTTGAAACAGATTTCACTTCAAGACATTTTATCTCTGTTGTAGGATGTTTATCTGGGAAAACCATGCAGAGGTTAATTAGTGACAATTATCTCTATTGCCATCAAAAAAATTAATACGAATTTGCATTTAGAAAATGTATATTTACTAAAGAAATTGTTATGGAAAAAACCTTTGGGGTGTCATTAATTTACTTGTTTTATCACTAGAAGATTGCAGAAAATAAGCACTCTTTTAAGTGAAGGTTGATGAAATACAAAATTTTCACTAGATGAAAAATGAGGGGAGTGGGAACAGTTTATTACATAAAACTTTGTTCACCTGTCCTTAAACAAGTCATTTTTTTTGTACAAACCTACTGAAATCAGTTGGCAGCTTTGATCAAACATCAGTTCAGCAAGTTGTATGGGGAGAATACAGGTAACAGCATCCCTTTGCTGACCAAGGGTACCCATTCTAGATTTACAAAGGTGTAACTGAGAGTTGAATTTTGTACTCTTGGGGAAATCTTCCCATAGATGAAAGTAGTGGCAGCTTTGTCAATTACTGGCCTATGGGAAAGGAGGAGCTATGGTCAGGGAAACCAATAACAGTCAACAATTTCATACCTGCAATCTCTGTGTAAGAAAACAAACTAAGTAATCCCACTTTATTCTGACTGTTAAAAACGCTGGGCTTGTGTTACCCTAAAAATACTTATTTAAATACACTATAGCTAGAGATAACCAGAACCCCAGAGGATTAAATATTTAAGGGTAGAGGCTTTCATTTTTTTTCTTACTCTCTCGGACCATAATATGCAAACAGAGATTGACTTCATGTGGGCTTCTTAGGTATCTTGCATTGGGACCTGCTCATAGCTCATCAGTGATCCCATAGAGCTTAGGAAACTGATCTTTGCCTCTTTTATTTTTTTCCTTCTTTGCAGGAGTAACAACAGTCCTCACCATGACCACCTTAAGTATCAGTGCCCGTAACTCTTTGCCAAAAGTGGCCTACGCTACTGCAATGGACTGGTTTATAGCTGTTTGCTATGCCTTTGTATTTTCTGCATTGATTGAATTTGCAACAGTCAATTATTTCACCAAGAGGAGTTGGGCATGGGATGGCAAAAAAGCCCAGGAAGCTGCGAAAATCAAGGTGCTTAGCTTAGATTTTTTAAATACCTAAAATAAAAAGCAGGTACTCAACATAGTTCAAATAACTGAATAGTCAGTTTTCAGGTTCTTCATGAGAAAGTTAAACTACCTCATGACATACTTTCACCTCCCTATAGAGGAAAATTTGCAAGGAAATATGACACCTTCTCTTCATGGAGATAGACTACTAGTCTCTATCATCTATATGAAGAGGACTTTTTACAGAAGGATATTGGGCATTGAGTCCACGTGGCATGGGATTTCAGTGACCAGACTTCTGATAATAGGAGACTTATACTATGAAACATATCTCTACAGAGCCCTCCCTCTGTCCTCCTAAATAAATGGCAAAGCTCAATGGAGCCGGGGCTCCACCACAGTATCCCCACCAAAAAAGGGACAAAAGAGCTGTTCTGTGAAAAGACAAACTGTTGAATTTCATGCTGAAATGAAACCTTTGGAATAGGACTGACTCTTAATAAATCGTCTCCTAGAGAGAGCTTGTACCCGCAGGCATCCCAGAAGAGCCATACAAAGAGACAAGCTGGCAGGGGCAATGAGCCCTTCCCCACACTCTTTGCTGCAGCCAGGGAAGTGAGATTCACGTCTTGTCAGCTGCCCATGGGGCAGCAACCTCTGCAGGTGCAGGACTGCATCGCCCTGAAAAAAGGAGCTGCTAATGCACATGCCAGGTGGGATGCAGGTCCGACCAGTCAGTCTCAGCTTACTCTGACGTCAGGGAAAGTTTCACCTGACTAAAGGGCTGCAAAATCAAGGCAAAACCATCTGTTCGGTAGTCAAAGTCAGAATAGCCAACAGGCTCTTATTAGCATGATTGATTATGGTGCTTAGCTTTTTCGGTTAATATCTTGAGAACATGTTTCCACTTTCTGTTCATGTGGCCTAAAATATTTGTTCTTTCTGCAGAAAAAAGAGCGCAACTTGTTGGGAAATAAATCAACTAATACTTACACAACTGGGAAGATGACCCCTGCACCAAACATGCCAAAGGACTCAGCCCCATCTGTCATCTCAAACACTACATCTGCTCCAGTGAAGTCTGCAGAAGAAAAGCCTGCTGAAAGCAAAAAGACTTACAACAGCATCAGTAAGATTGACAAAATGTCACGGATAATTTTTCCAGTGCTGTTTGGAACTTTTAACTTAGTTTACTGGGCTACATATTTGAATAGGGAGCCTGTAATTAAAGGTGCCAATTCTCCAAAATAAACTGAAGTACTCTGAAGCCACATGTGAGCCATACTTACAAAGCAGATGCTACCAAGGAAAATTTGAGATCCAGATGACTTTCTACACATTTGGGCAATATTCTTCAGGAAGTTTTTTGCATGTTTAATAATATGTACAAATAATATTGCCTTGATTGTTTCTACATGTAACCTCAGATGTTTTGGAGACGATTATATTACTTACAGCAATTGATCTTTATAAAAGATCAGAAGACATTGAACATGGCTTCTTTGCTGCTGAGTATCTTGCATTGATAGTTTACAAATAAAATAAGTTATATTTTTTAACTGTTCAGGTGTACTACATATCGTGGTTTTTATACTTCAGATGTACAGTCATTCAAATATAAGCTTAACCTATATTTTACAGAAGAGCTCTACTGTTGTCATCTGATAAGTTACTGAGTAACGCTAGTTGTAAATGTGCCAAATTATTAAGTGTAGGGCTATGTTTGAGCACCTTTACTAGTTACAGGCAGTGCATTGCTCCACAGATAAAACTGCTCAGCCCAATTTTCATTGGAAGTTAAAAACAATGCCATAAATCCTAATGGGACTACGCAGATTTTCACTGCTTGAGACTCTAGCTTGCACTGAAATAACATAGGGAGCAGGATGCTACTTGTGTAAATAAAGTGGTGGAATCTTGCACTTAAATGAAAAGGTTTGTTTGGATTTTGCATTCCAAGAAATTTTGTTTAACAATTCTCAATATTTATTCCAAAAATTAAGAGTTATATTGCATGAAATTAACATAGATTAGGAACATACTTGTGCAAATAAAACTTTTAACAACAGCAGTAGACATTTTTATCAGGGTAAAGTAAATGATGTTTGGACATTTTCCCCAGAAGAAGATTGTGTAATATTAGCAGAGATTATGCTGCAGTAATTATCACTTGTTTCCCACAGCAAAAACCAGTCAGCCAACACTAAGGGGTGTAATCAGAAAAAAAGATGTACTTCATGACAGCAAGGTGTTTCAGTGACAATATTGGCAGAAAGGTCTTTGTACTGTCCATCTGAAACTTTTCTATAAAACGCCTTGCTGCTGACAATGTGTTTTGCTTTCACAATGAATGAGAAAATGCAGTCTGAGTTTTCAGCTCTTTCCTCCTTGGCATCCTTTAATTGTTCCAGAAGCTTTTGTATTTAAATCTTAATGTTTAAATAAAAAATGCATTCAACATTTGATTGCAAAATGTCGTTTTTATACTGGTTATCTTTTTAGAAAGACCAAAACATCACACCACGGGAGCTGAGGAATTAACTGGAAAGCACACAAGCATGCACTTGTGCACACACATCACATAACATGTTTACATGACGTGCACGTGACACATCCTCCCTGTTACCCAGAAAGGAACATGTCTTGAGTGAAGACAGTGGATTGAATTATTTCAGAATTAGGTTCTGTCTTGCTATGGAGCATCACTCCTGTGATCTTTTTTGGGACAGAGAGGAGAGCTTGTGCTTCACTTTGAAATGAGGGTCTGATCTGGGACTGGGTAGCTGTCTGGGCTTCTTATGTGTGTTCTCTTCAACCCTTTCATTCCCAAACATTTTCATTGCCAAGAAAAAAATCTCATACATCTATTCCTTTTTGAAGCCTTTTGTTTGATGCTGTGGAATGAGAAATTTGCAAATTCTCAGTGGCAATGGAGAAGCCATGGGATTGGGCAGATGGCTGTATACTGATAAAGAGGAGAAAGGCAGGAAGGTGCACATCTATTCAGTGCTATCCTGAGCCAAGGTGAGGATGTGGATCTTTGTTTTCATGTAGGCGTCCCATGTGTCTTTGAGCAGCCGCAGACTTCCTTGTTCATCATCCCTTTGGGGGGAATCCCTTTGGCCCCTTGGGGATCAAAAATAGTGAAAAATTTCAGTGCCTACTGGGAGGCAAAACTTTATATAAAGTCCCATGGCTATTTCTTGAGATGAGAAACTCAGAGAATTTCATGACTAAGTTTCACAAATGAGAAACTCAGAGCCATCCTAACAGCATCTTCTTCTGGGCAATTCGTCTGCCCCAGAGGGTTTCTGTGCTTTATTTGCTTACACCCAAGTCTGACTCATACTCTGTATGGCTCAGTAGGATTTTCTGGTCTCTGTTGCAGGACTCGGTGCCAGGACCTCTAACTCTGATCTATTTTACTTACATGGAAAGTCTCATCTTCAACGAGTACAGATCTACCTGCAAACAGCAGAGTAGTATGGCCAGAGGATCAGGTCATTTGCTTTATTATAGTATACAATTTGTTGGTGTTTACTGGTTATATAGAGGACCTGATATGCCAAAGGCATATGGCACCACAGGCATTCTGTAAAAAATCACTTCCAGTTGTATTGACTGTCTCTTTCTATGTTTGAAGGTAAAGGTGGAAAATAATGATTAGAGCTCATTCTGTTAATGTGGACTTGCTAAATGAGGTTGAAGTTTCCTAATCCTTGCTGAGAACTGAAATGATAGAAGAAGAAGAAGCCACCTTGCAATGTGTGCTTGTGCAGGAACACTAGGTGTTGTCCCGTAGTTTGGAAGATGCTTCAATAAACCAAGAGATTCCAGACTGGAACACTTAAACGCCACTGCCTCGCATTGCGCAATACCTAAAAATTTAAATCTCTCCACAGTCAGTGAACTGTTTGTGTGGGAGACCATTACTCACTGAGATGGCATCTGAAATGTGGGAGATGGGAGCATTTCCCAGATCCTGTCTGAAAGGAAACACCTTGGCCTTGTCCTGCTTCAGGCTGGGGTGGTATCTGGATGTGCATCAATCTCCTCTGGTTTCCCCCGGAAGTAGCTTGGGCTTTCAGGAGTGGAGTGAGCTGTGTCCCTGTCCCCAGCATGGGTGAACTGGGGCCCTGTGGGACACATCTACTTAACGGCCAAAGAGAATTATAAATAGGAATGGTTTCTCGTCAGGTTTTTCTTTATGCTATCATTGAAAAAGAATTGAAAAGTGAATTACAATTCAGCACCACAGAGTAAGTGTGTGCAGTCTGCTGCTAAATTTCTTTACTTGCACATATTAAGAATGAAAGAACAAGTTGAATACAATGGAAAAGGTCTTTTGGTTCTGATATTTGAGCTGTGCCAACTTACTCCCAGATGAATTTAAGCAATAACACGTTTTCTAAAGTTTAACCCTCTTCTGTTATTTCGTGTTCTGCTTTTTTTCTAAATGGAATACACCTTCTGTGGAATAGCTAAACATATTTGTACAAAACTGAGAAAGAAATTGTTGTATTAAATAATCATGTCTTTCAAAAATTCTTGCTAAACATGTAAGTTAAACTTTCAAAAAACTGAATGAAACTGTTTTGCTATTCAGTTTATGCAGGCAAGATGCACAGCTGTTTGATTTTTAAACCTGGAGATAAAGTTCTTTGTAATAAGGATGTATTTCCTCTAACATCTTTGCTTCTCAGATTGGAATTGACATTGAAATGACCAAATTTCTTGAATTCTTTCTGGCTTTTTATATGTTTTTATGTCACTACAAATACTAAAGTAATGGTCATTGCTTGGTGACTCTCAGATGACATCTTTGCTTTACCAATTTTGTGTCTTCCATTATCTTGTTATAGACATTTGTTCAATTTAGAGGAAGACAGAAAGATTGGAAGTTAGACTTTATGAAGCCCAAATGACTTCTGAAAGATCTTCTTAGGATTACCACTAATTTGGACTGAAGTGGAAGCGTCCCATTCTGTAGTGCATTATTTGCCTTTTTATTGCCATCCTTAAAAGCAATTATTACTCCTCACAGTCATCATGTCTTAAAAGCTTCTGTTTAAATTGGCCATGGCTAAAGACAAAGTGAAAAGGAAACTGAGAATGTTGATTGAAGATACCAGTTTATTTCAGTTAGATGAATTTGGAGAGATTTTGAAAAATACTGATAGATTGCAATTGACTGGACCGGCAATGATAGGTTGCATTCGTAGGTGGGAAAATAACCGCACCTAAGAAAAAAAACACCACATAGCTTGTCACATAAATGACAATAAATGCTGGAACGAGCCACCCATGGCAGTTTTGGCCTCTGGGTCTGGACTCAGTTCTTCATTCACTGCCAGCTGATGTTATTGACGTCCTCAGGAAAACTGCTCAGAGGAGCAGGCCTGCCTGCCCTCTTCTGCCAGCATGTGAATGTGAAGATGCTGAAAAGCTGCAGCATGGCACATCAGGGGGGATTCTCCATATCCTGCCAGAGAGCAGAGAGTACTGTGCTGAAGGACAGAGGTGAGGGCACACAGAAAGTGTCTGGACCTCTGAGATTCAATTTCCTACCTCAAGGCAGAGTTACTTATTTATAGGAGCGGAGTGCTTCCAGCAGTAGCGACAGAGACCTTCAGTCTGAATAAACTGGCCCTAAGACTCATATAAAATCTCTAATAAGCCTCCAGCTGGAGTACTCCAGAAGCTGTAGAAGTTTCTGGAGTTTGTCTCAGAGCAGCCCCAGTTCCCTTCTGTGCTGCTTGTGGTATAAGTAGCACTGGGGTGCTAGGAAAACCACCAGTAGGGCTCTCTTTCAACATTTAATCTCAGAAAAGTTCAGATGCCCAAACTGTTCAGTGCTAGAGAGGGGGTTCCCAGTTCTAGCAAGTGAGGCACTTGATCTATGAGTCCCATTCCCTTCCTCTGCATTTTCCCCCTCAATTTATGTCAACTAGCACCCTGCACAGCTACTTTCAGGGACTCATATTTCCCCACTGTACAACATATACCAAAAAAGTATCCCTTAGGTTGAAAAGAAAGTCACCTCCTGTGAGAAAGCAATGAGAGGTAAGTTAAATGTGGGTCCATTTTATTGTGCTAAAGAGTATAAACATTTTACTGTTGTTACAGGATATGATAAAATGTTCTTTTGTTAAAATATATGCTGGATAATCGTGCCCCTTGCCTGAATACACAATTTGAAAAAGCTCAGCAAAGGCAGAGTGTGCTTAAAAGTAAAATAAAAGCATGTGAGCATGAAGAGGAGAAGCACAATTTGAAAAAGCTCAGCAAAGGCAGAGTGTGCTTAAAAGTAAAATAAAAGCATGTGAGCATGAAGAGGAGAAGCACAATTTGAAAAAGCTCAGCAAAGGCAGAGTGTGCTTAAAAGTAAAATAAAAGCATGTGAGCATGAAGAGGAGAAGCAGAAATGACCGAGGCATGAAGTGTAACGGAGAGCGGTGCTAAAGCAGTAACACATAGCTCACAGAGGCCAACAGAAAGAAAACCTTACATCACCTTTTGTTTTCCTTACTGCCTGAGGAGAGGGATGCAATTATTAATGAACCACATAATTTCGCTCCAGCCTTGGGGCTTGCTGCCACAGTGCAAGGGAAGAGGGGACACTGTGACAGTGCAAGGGAAGAGGGGACACTGTGAAGGTCTTCCTGGAGAGCTGGGTGACTCGATGGCCACGTACAGCTCCGGTAGCGACACACGGTCACCGACAGGGGTAACCGAGCGCTCTGTCGCCAGCTGGAGGCAGTCTGGAGTGGGAGACCCAGCCCCATCCCTCGCGCTTCCCAGCGTCGCCGCCAGAGGATCCCGCTGCCTCGGCAGGAGGTGAGGAGGGCGGGACAGGGCTGGCGGGCGGGGTAAGAGGCGGAGCCGCCGAGCGGGGTAGCCAAAGCCACCCCCGGCCGGGAGAGGAGGGGGCTGAGGGTTCGGCTACTCGAACTAGGGTGTAGCGTTGGACTTGCGCTCGCCGTCTCTCCGTAAATCGCTGCCGGCGTATCTTTCCTCGCGGTCTTTTTGGCACGATACCATCTGGGTTCCTTATGCCGCCCACCCGGGCACTGGCAGAGGCAAGGCGGTCCCCAGCCGCCGCTGCCGGCAGAGCGAGCACTCTCGGCCCCGGCAGCCGGCTCCGATGCTGCAGCACCGCCCCAGCTGTTCGCGCTGCCGGGCTCCCGGGCAGAGGGGTTGGGGCCGAGCTAAGCTTTTATTTATTCAAGTTGTGTGCGTGTGAATACACACATTTTTCTATATGGCCAGCGCAGTAGTAGCCGGTGATGGCGAAACCCCTTCCTGCATGGAGGGCGCTTCCCGTCGTTTCTTCTGAAACGCGCGGGCACTGCGAACCAGGACGTGGGTACCGCGACCTCGGAGTCCTAAGTGATGTTTCCATAAGCACCAGCCCTCAGAAAACCTTAAGGTGCCTGAAAACTCTGGCCGTGCTGCGATGCCGGCGCAGGGTGGAGCCCGGTACCACCGGGACTCATCGGCACTCAGCAGGAGTTTCCCCCGTCGCTGAGACGCGGCGGCTCCTCCGCTCGCCCCGTTCCGCCTCCCGCCCGCCCCACGGCGCCGGTGTTCCCGCAAACTTCACATCAGCGGATGGGCGTGCTGCTTGACCGGCAACGTAGCTATTCCTGCTGAAATCCAGGCAACCCCCGAGCTCCCGCCGACCCTTCCCTTCCTTCGTAATCTTCTCAAGGCAGCAGGCGGCCTGGATTGCACCTGCACTTCTCTGCTAGTGGCGGAAAAAAGCACAAGCCTTGTAACAATTGGCTATTAGAATTCACAGTAATGCAATTAGCCAAAGTAAACACGAAAGAACTGCTTTATAATCCAGTAAAGAGGCGTTTAGGTTGGAAAAAAAAACAAACCCCGAAAGGTTGAAAAAACCCCTGAAGTGCATGACGAGGAATTAATTGCCTGGCTCACAACGGATTTTGCCTAAGCTGTTTCATTCCTTCAATAGATAACTTCGTGAACAGAACTCCCTACAGCTAGCTCTTCTAGGCTTCATGTAGGAGTTATTCTAAAAGCAAGATTGCATCTTCCAGCAGATTAGGTTTTTTTTTTAATGTAATGTCATAATTAAAAACGACTCCCCCAGAACGTGAAAGTTGTATCTAAGGGAGGAGGAAGCAGAGATTTATACTTCCAAGATTTCTGATCACAGGAAAACGATCACTCGCTGTACCTCTAGCAGAGTTTTTCGTTTCCAAATTACCATTACGTAAGTGAAATTTTGCCGCTTCTCATTCTGAAAACAAAGGGGGATATTCCAATTACCTGATGCCCGGAGCAAAGCTCCACACACCTGCAGAGAATCGAAGTCGCTAAAAATCACATCTGTGCTGTTCCTTGTGGAGTAAAAAGACAAACGATGTCTAAACCCAAACTGGTTTTGACCTGAATATACTTGGCTGCTGTCAATTTCCGAGTTCTCATATCAGAAATTCCTCATTTGCTCCAAAGTTTACAATATATACATAAGTCCATGTAACTCGGTTTACACCATCTCTCTTTTCTCTGCGTATACCTTTTACTGGCATACCTTGTGTATATATATGTGTGTCCATGCATTCATACAGTGCATGCAAACTTCTACGTACATCCAGCTAGATACAGAGGCATATTCGTCTATCTGTCCGTGTAAGTAGCCGCACCAATAACATGGATCTGCGCCAGTACGTACATCGGGATGCCCGTCTTTCCGATCAGCCCGAGACCAGCAACCGACCCTCTCCCTCCGTCTGAACAGAGCACCTTCAGCGCGGGGGAAGGGGGGCATTCGCCTAGTGAGTGTCTCGTTTGGGCGTGAGGGCATCCTGCAAAACAGCAGGGGGATGCCTCCGCCGGCCGCCCCCTCGGGGGCATCGGCATGGCGATGTGGGGGAGAAGTCCCGGGTGCCGGGTTTGCTGCTTCCCCTCTCCCGTGTGCGCCCGCCGGGGCGGAGGCAGGGTTCACTTCCCAAGTCCCCCCGTTGCCGGCGAGGCGGGTACCTGTTGGGCAGGGAGCGGGGACGAGGTGCTCTCCGATGCGGGGCGGTCCCCGGCAGCGCTCCGGTGCCGCGCTGCGGGGCTGGCCGTGGCCAGGCTCTCCCGGGGGGAGGCAAGGTGCGCTTCCTCCCCCTTCCCCAGCCCGCCCCCCGCCCGGCCCGGCCCGGCCCGGCCCGCCCCGCGGCCCGGCGGGGCCCGGGCTCCGGCGCGCTGTGCACCGCCCGGGGGGCTCGGCCAGCGCCAGCCGGGGGAGCAGGAGAGGCCGCGCCGCTGCTCCCGGCAACTGTCTGCTAGGAAGGGGGACGCGCCGCAGCTCGGTGCCCGCTGAACACCTGTCAGCCCGCGGAGCCTGATTTATACCTGGCCCTGGCAGTCTCTCCGCTGAGGATTTCCCCCTCGTCCCACTTTTTCTTTTTTTTTTTTTTTTTTTCCCTTCGCCTCCCCCTTCTCTTCCCGGAGCGTTGTAGAAGGGGGTATTTCCTTCAGGGTATAAAGCTGAGAATACAGAGGAGGAGAGGCTCAGAGCTTCACCTCGTTGCCTCGTTTTCCCTTCCATGTGAACATCCTGCAACGTTTCCTTCTTCCTGCCTCACCTGTCACCTGGCCAGCACTGTCCGGACAATGTCCGCTAAGCTCCTACCGCTTTTCTTCCTCCTCTCAGTGTTCCACGCCTGGTAAGTCTGCGCTCCCCTCGCCTCTCCCCAGCCCCTCTTCTCTCCCCTCGCACCGGGGCTGGCGGGCTGCAGTCCCGCTTGCCTGAGTTTGCACAGTACTCGGCGCCCGGGAAGGACAGTGGGCTCTCCCCGCCTCCCCCGAGCCGTGCCGGGGCTCTGTTCCCAAACGCGGTTTACCCCGCTCCCTTGCCGGGACCCGCCTGGCTCCACAGTGCTCTCGGCGCGGTGGCACCGCCGCTGTCCCTTCCCAGGCCCGCTTAAAGCTGGAGGTCGCCCGCGAGGGCTCTGTCCTGAGCCCGCCCGGCGGAAAGTTTCCCGCTCCGGCTGCTGCCGGCACCCGGGCGGTGGACACGGTGGGACGGCGGCTGGCGCTGCCCGGGCTCCCCTTACGGCCCTGGCTTCCCTCCGCGCCACCCCCGGGGGCTCCGCGGGAGGGGCCGGCGAGGAGAGGGAGCGGGTAAACCGCGAGAAGCTTAAGCCCCTGGCCCATGCCTCAGAGCTGGGAAGGGTCTCCCCGGCAGGGCCCCGGCATAACCTATTGGGAGTCAGAGGGGGACAGCCAGCATCTGCAGCCCTGAGCTTTTGGTCTAGGCTCGCCTTCGGTCCTTTTGGTTGTCCAGGGCTGTCCTATACCCTCACCGCATAACCCAGGCAAAGGGGTCACCTCAGCCACAAACCAGGCTGCAGGCATGCTCAGAGGTTTTTCCCTCTCCTTCCCAGCAGCCTACCCCACACCTGAGTGGCATCTCTCTCCTAAAGCCCCACAGGAACTAGAGGATGTTTCTTTGCCAGCCCCTGGAGCAAGTGCCAGACACACATGTTGCAGGAAATAAACCCTTTCCCCGCAACCTCTCAGGGTTTTCTAGACTTCCTCTGTTGCAGATTATGCACAGTCTCTTCTCTGTCTCCTCACAGAATCAAAATTAGTGGCCCCTGAGGAGTTTGGGGAAAGTGTGTAGCCTTTCTTCCTTCCCACTTTGAGATGGGCCTGCCATCATCCCATTGTTGTTTCTGTGGACTGCAGGAATATGATAGGAATTGGCAGTCACCAGTAAAGTTACAGATGAAAATGCAACCGCAAGTGCCTTCAAGGAGTTTAACTATGTAGAGGCAAGCAAGGGAAGTGAAGTAATGAAGTCTTAAGAAGGAAAACAAAACACCTTGAAAAATATGTGTCTAGTGTATTATTCTTGATGCACTGTGACATGTCTCCCACCTCCAGTCTTAATCTAGAAGATAGGTAGAGATTTAAATTATTTGGAGGTACTTTCTAGGAAAGAAGCTGCTAGAGTGAGAGGATCTAAAACGGCTGCCAGTGCTTACTTAGACTCTTGTTCATGACTGGTTTTAAAGCAGCATCTCCCTGAAATGAGAGTCATGATCCCACCTGAACTCAGCTCTCATTTCCATGTGCAGTCTGAATACCTCTGGTAAAGTTCTGATGGGATGCAGCAGAAAAAGACATATGATTTGTGCTTCTTTGCTATCAGCAATTCAGCACCACTGCAGCGTTTCAGCTCTGAAATATCAACGATGTATATTTGGAGATGATGCCTCCTTTGAGAATGGCTTTGTAACAGCGGTATTAAAACCACTTGTCATGAATCTGATGGAGAAAAAACTCCCCCCCAAATCCTCTTGAGGTTTTTTAAATCTCATTGAGTGAATTATTAAAAAAAAAAAATCCAGTTTTTAAAAAATGCAACTCAATAACAGAGAAGTAATGGTTGTCTATTCAAAATTTCTAAGTTTTCTCTACTTTTGCAATTAGTTGTATGAGCTCTTTATAGAAAAATCCTCAGGGTCTAGGTTTCAAAATTATTTTTATATAGAAATTGTGCCTAGAGCACTTGCAATTTGTGAGGTCATGCTAAGTGATTCATGGCTAATCCTTGGGGATGTATTTGCTGTAGAACAGTTTCAATTAGAAGTTTCATTAAAATCTCAAATAGTGGTCTTTGAGCAATGTGAGGGTTGCTGATGCTCTGTGATTAAATTTTTATACTTGTATCAGGGGTTTTTATGTTAATATAGAGTGTCTATCAAGTCTTCTGGACATCTGAGGTATTTTAGTGTCATTCTAGAGAGAAAGAGAGGGAGAGAAAGAAGGTTGCTCTGATGTGTGTAGCACATCCCATGAATAAGCAAGGTGGTGCCTCTCATTCTCCATTGCTTTGCACCTCACATAAGTATTGACATTTATGCAAAAATGTTGCAAAATGAAGTAATATCCCCCAGGCAATTTCAGGTTGAAGCAATATATGATTACTGCTGTAGGTTCTACCATTGAGGTTATCTTTTCTCCTAATAACTTCATCTCAGTTTAACTGTCATAGATTTTCTCCAGTCAGAGGCATCAAACAGATTTGGTTTCTAAGATACCAAAAGATACATCTTCAAATCAACATTTTACAGTTTGTGCAAAAAAGCTGCACAAAGGAAAATAGTCTTTTGTGAAAATAGCTCTAGCTGTGATTTCTGGGCAAACTGCAGTTTCACCACGTTTGTATTAATATGCTCTTAAAAGAAAAGTAACCTACCTCTAAAGGAAAGAAGTTGCAACTCTTGGGGTAGTTCTGTTTTTTAAAAAACGTCATTAAAGTTGCAGGGAAATTCAGATTAATTTATACAATGTATTTGTGTGCTTGTGATAATCCATCTTAAATTCAAGGAGTGAGCTCTTAATTCTAAGCCTTGTAATACATTAAACTCTGAAATTCAGGCACTGAGAATATAATAATTTATTAATAGGATAAAATGATCATGAAGCATTAACAGATCTAAATTTTTAATACTCTTATTAGCCGTTGTGCAAGAGATGAATCAGTTGTCTTGATGTATTAATAAAATGATACTGCAGATGTTTGCTCTTTGTAAAAGTGTATTGTAAACTCATCAGAATAGGTTTATTAAAATACATGATATAAAATGCTACTCTGATAACTGTATTAACTTTTAGAGTATAACTTTTTGAAGAAATTGTGAGAAGACAATTTCTGAATCATTCTCAGTCATGACCCATTCAGAGATGCTCAATAATTGTTTATGGGAGCATCCTGTTGCAAAACCAGTCTAAGGCTGAGTAGGTGCAAAGCCAGGTGAGACTTCTAAAACTTCTTCAGATGAGTGTGGAGCTTTACCTAGACTGTAAATTCATGTTTTAGTTATGTAGAATAACATGTGTTTGTTTTATTTGTTATTGCAGTTCTAGAAAGGTTGAAGAGGATGAATATGAAGATGGAACAACTAACCAAAAATGGGTTTTAGCTCCAAAAACACAAGACACAGATGTGACTCTCATCCTAAATAAGCTGTTGAGAGAGTACGACAAAAAGCTACGGCCAGATATTGGAAGTAAGTACTTCTTTCTGCACAGGTGAGGATAAGCTCTCTGGGCACAGAGAAGACGTGGTGTATTTTGGATGTGTGCACAAACATCTGGGAAAGCGGAGATAAAGGTTTTTTTGGCTGAAGTTCATTTCCAAGTCACTATTTTAAAAATACTAATTCTCATGAGAAGATCTGGTGATAACTTAGGATCCTAAAATCTGGTTTTCTTGTACAGAGTTTGTGTAGAGAGATGGACGGGTTAGCTCTAAAGTATTCAGCAGGTCTTTGGCAGAGGAAGGAACATACTTACCTCTTTTGTCATCCAGTCCCTGCATCTGAAAAACTCACACTCTGAGAAGCAAACAAAACCTCAGCATACTAAAAACCAAAAGTATGACACAGCAAGTGAAGAATGTGCATCTACTCTCTTCAAAATATGATTACAAAAGTTATGTTCCTTAATGCTGAGAAGAAAGCACCAGGATTTACCTGTGTATAGGGCAACTCCAGAGATTTTCTTACCCAAACCATCAGACACTTATAAAAGAAATTTTATAGAATGGAAGTCTCTTGTGGTCAGTACTACGACATTTAAGTATAAAATTTAGATAAGAGCCAGTAGATATCTGCATATAACTATCTTGGGCTATTTTTTTGTTTTAATTTGTGTAATGGCATTGTGTATTTTAAACCAGACATATTTTTTGGTTTGTGTTTTTTTTTTTGGTTGGTTGGTTTGGTTTGGTTTTGGTTTTTCATTTCTGTTGGTTTGGTTGGTTTGGTTGATTTTTTTTCTTTTTTAATGTTTCACCGTTTTTAGTTATGCCCTGTTTGTCTGGTTTGCAAAATGGCTGTAGCACAACTGTTGCTCAGCTTATTCGTAGCAAGTTTGCATGACAGAAATCAGAGAGCATTTGTCATTTATATTTACTGCACCTTGCATGTACTTCAGAATGCACTGAGAATGGAGAATACTCAAAACAATCACATAATATAATTTGCTTTTCCTAAATTTTTGCAAAGGTTAGAGGGAGAATTCCTATCAGCGATTATGAGTGAATCTATTGTTAGCTGATAGCAATTGTATTGATACACTTTCTAGATGATCCCTTTGGATCAGTTTAGAGGGAAGTAAGAGCCGTCTGTATGCATTCACCATTACTGCTGTGTCTCATAGCTACACAATAATACAACAATTGCAGAAAAAAAGACCATGTTGTGTTATGAAAGAAAGTGTATGTTTGGTTCTTTTTCATAGCCATTGCTTTGATTTTACCATAGAACTTACAAAAATTATATTTGATACATGTTTTTGTTTTTATCACAAAGTGACATTTATCTCTCTACTTAGTTTGTCATACTGGATTCAGCTGATCTTTAATATCTGATGGAGAAATGCTTTAATGCACTTTCCCACCCATATCAACATCTGGAAGACAGTCTCAGACAAAATATTTTATTTATTTTGTACACCACGTCCTCAGATCACTGACTTAAGGCAGAGTAAATTACATTATGCCTATGTGGGGCAAAGTAATCATTCAAAGTCCCCATGTCAGTTGCCATAAAATCGGTAGAGGTCAGACATATCTTACAGCACTGGAAAGTCATTTTTATCAAAATAATTCCTTTTGTCTCTCTACAAGATTTTGTAAATCCTGTTTTAGAGAAAGGAGTTAAATTACACAGCTCCTCACATATCAGAGATTTTACAGTTCTCAGCTACATCTATTTCTATCAAGCGTCTTGGTCCTAGGCTATTTTTCTCTTTGATAGCAATCTGGCTATTTCAGAACTTGAGCTGAGTGTTGTTCGTAGGCTCGAGTAGTTCACCTCTGCTTCCTTCCCTGGTTCCTCTTTTCACCTCTCCTACCAGTGATGCAGATAAATAACACTGCCCTTTTGAATCTGGGAAGCTATTGCATTAGGCAAGGAGAACACAAGGGGAATACTAGAGAATCGGGTACCGCATCTAACTTCCCTGAATTGCTGGCTGGTGCGTCACACACAAATGATCTTCCTTTCCATCTGGGAGACAGTTGTTCTCCGAACAGGATAGTTGACGTGTCCTGGCAACTGAACTGTGTTCCTGCCCTGAAGGTCCCAATATTAATATAAATAATTGAAAGCATAATACGTATCAGTTAGAGCACCAGGAAAAAAAGTAGTGAACCAGGTAACTTAGGCATATGATAAGAAAATTCATGTTTTGAAATTTATAGGAAGCATGGAAAGAAACAGTGGAAGAAGTGAGAAGTAGTTCTCGGAATCAAGCAGTCAATAAAAGATACTGAGGGTTAAATCTAGGACTAACATGCAGTCAGCTACTCCTTAGTGCCTTTACATTTGCATGGTGCTGCCTGGAAGCAAATCAGCTGTCCCACAGGACAGGGGCACTCACTGCTTCATGCCACACTGCACTTTACTCAGCTTTCCAATCCTTTATTTCAAAACCACTGTTTCTGACAGCGGATAGCTTTAGCAATGGTCCTGAAGAAATGATTGTTGTCCTGAATGCAGTCAGAAAAGCCTAGGAAATATGAACTTCTTTGTACTTTCAAAGGTTGGGATTACAATTTTTAGATCACTTGGGAACACGCTTTTGCAAGCCAAAGGCCATGGAGAGAAGGGGAAGACTGAGGCAAATGGAAGGTATTGAAGAGCATGCTGGCCTAGGCAGTGACTTTGCTGTGGTTTTTCATCCTTCCCAGGGCAGCTGATGTTTTGGCTAGCTCAGATATGTCCAGGTACTACCTGGCACTGTACAGGCACATTCTGAGTGCCTCCTTGCCATAGACTTCTTCAGCAATCACCTTCAGCCCAGCAGTACAGCCATCAGTGAATAAACTCCTGTGCACATTTAACTACTCTCTTTCCTCCTCCCTCACCCAAAAACATCTAAACCACTGTCAAAAGTGTGTAGGTCATTGCTAGGCCAGGATTTACTCTCTTTTTTTTTTTCATGTTGGTCTATACTTAACCTCAGTTTTCATGTAAATGACTGTTGTGCAGATAATGTGCACAATCTACACTCAGCAGTTCAGGCATCACCTGCAAGGTTCCAAGCCAGGATTTTTAGAGAGTGGATTGAACAACCTAAGTATTAGGCAAAACAGTTAACCTGTAAAGGCTATTATCAGTGTGCTACCTTAACAGGACCTGTCTAGCTAAAAGGGGCCTTTGATCTTTGGAAACAAAGCAGTGTTCTACCAGCAGGGGAATGCCTGAATGTATCCCCTGTGGCCACACACTTGGCAGAGTTCCTGTCTCCATAAATATCATGGCTTGTGAGGGTTTTCATTTCATTGGTGTCACCTGGCAGATTTCCATTATACCACAAAAAATACACACCTTTTGGAATCGAAAAAAAAAAAAAAAGAAATAAAGGAAATAAAAGCAAGCATCTCATACTGAACAGCTAATACCAGTGTACTGATTAGATCAAAAAGAAAAGTGTTTTATGATGTGAAGCATCTTTTTCACTGATTTTTTTTCTTTTTTTTCTTTTTTTTCTTTTTTTTTTTACCAGCTACAATTATAGATCTGAGAATCTCAGGTCTGTTGCGTGGTATAAAAGGCACCAATCCCAGATAACAACTAAACCCATTCAGAACTGTAAAGGTCTTAACATCTCTTCCATAGGCAGGTATTCTGTATTTTGTTCCAAAGTGCTTTGAAGTGAAGACCTGTTCAATGGATATGCATAATTTTCTAAGTCCAGTAAGGCTTGCTATGCTGCAAGCATGTTTTTTTCCTCCATGTCACATTAAGTCCTAACATTTAGTAGGACCAAGTTCTGCCCCTGAAATTTTACTTCCCTATTATTAATAAAATAAAAATATTAGAAATATTAGGAAAAGCAACAGAGCACAACGTAGAATGATGGTAATTACAGCTAAAAAAATCTCAGTCTCATTTAGGTTCTATTGACAAACCAGATTTTTGTCATTGTTTTTTTTTTTTTGATTGACTGATTTAAAATTAAATTTCCAAGAAAAAAAAAAAAATCACACAAGCAAACAAAACCAACCAAACAAAAGAAGACTTACAAATGAAGCAAAACGCAGGTAAATTAAATACCACATAACAAAACATATTTCCTTCAAAGTCAATTTACTTTAATGAAACCTTCCTTTTCACCTTCCTTAATGGACAGCTTAGTCTACAATGGAGTTCTGGAAAATAAATCTACCTTCAGAACCTGTTTCAACCTGAACTTCCCATGGAATGTAAGTTACCTTAAATAGAAAACTTGTAACAGTGAAAGAAAGTGTAGCAGTGAAAGAAAGTGAAAAGTTTGCTAGTCACGTTCCCTGAGTGAGCTTACATGTGGAATATGCTACTTTTTTTATTTCATTGTGAAAGTCACCTTACCCATCAAAAAGATTAGTATGTGAGAGGTTTCTGAAATGTACCATTAGTAGTGGGAGGAAAAAAGTCTCACCCTAGATTAAGCTTAGAACTGCAGAGTAGTAATTTGTGTTGCATGTTTGCATCTTCTGTTTCTCGAATGTCTAATTACATTAAGGAAGGCTCTGAAATGCACATGTTGAAGAAAACTTCATCAACTTGTGTTCTGAGGTACTTTCACCACTAATGCCTGCTTTTCCTTCCTTTTTTTTCAATTATCCTGCAGTAACTCATGGGTTCCTCTTGGATCCTCTAAAATAATTTGATCCTTACAGCCCTGTATTTATTGTTTATTTATAAGCCCAAATAAATTCACTTTGAAATATGTAATATTCTGATTGCACCAGTTCTAGCTGTCTTGAGAATCAAGCTGGCTTTCCTTGCTCCCCAATTATCTTTGTAACCATTAGCCATATTTCTGAAGATGAGAACAGTCTCAGAAACCGCTGTGCAGCTCTCAGTACCCTGAGTAGTTTTTCATAAGTGTAGCTGGTAGAAATAAATGAGCTCATTTGTATCAGCAAACATGGAAGACTAATTTCTGTCTGATGTGCTTTACTGTGCTGGCTTGGTAGCGTTTAACAGCAGTTCTCTTTTAAGGCAGGTTAAAGTTT